TTTTTGCATATATGCAAATTGCAAAAACGCGTATTGGGAAGAGGCTGTGTGTGTGTGTGTGTGTGTGTGTGTTCGCACTTTTTGTCGCCCACTTTCAACTCGAGAACCAGAAAAGCCAGAAGGCTGAAACTTTGGAAGCATGTGCCCATACCATGCGCGACCTTCCTGTTTAAATATCATCCCCCGCGGATGCCTGGGTGTCGCTTATCGGCGCTTGAAAAAAATACGCAATTTTTCTGGCGGGGAAGCGATCTCGAGAACCAGACACAGTAAGGAGCTGAAACTCTCTAAGGATATCCCCTGTATACTCTTTAACTAAAGACTTCAAATTCAGCCCACAGGTATGAGTGGTACTCATGTAAGGACGTTGGAAGTTTTGGTGGAAAAACTGCTAACTCGGGAACCAGGAAAGCTAGAAAGCTGAAATTTTGGATGAATGTTCCTTGTCCAAGCACAACTCAAATATTTCAAATTCAGCCCCCAGGTATGCATGATTCTTGCATACGAGCACGTGAACGGTTTGACGGGAGAATTGTTAACTCGGCAACCAGAAAAGTTGGAAGGCTGAAGTTTTGGGGGGGATGCTTCTTATACACGTGCTATTTGAAAATTTCAAATTCAGCTTCTCAGACACGTGGAGTATCCACGTATGGGCATGTGAAAACTTTGGGGGGAAAACTGCTAAGTCGGGGACCAGAAAAGCTAGAAAGGTGAAATTTTAGGGTTCTTTGTCCAAGTACAACTTAAGTATTTCAAATTCAGACTTGAGGTATGTTTGTGCGGGTACTTAAAAGTTTTGGCGGAAAAATTTCTCACTGAACAGCTAGGCTACTTTTAAAGAATGATCGTTAAATGAGAATTATACATTTACTATGCGAAATTTATAGTGATTTTATGCTAGTGATCGCAAAAGGTAGGTGTAAAACAACAGCCATTCATACAATTAATGACCTGAGTAATTCAAGTCCAGTGCAAAAACACATAATTGCACGGGCCCGACCGGTGCCTTTCAGCCTGGGTTTCCATTTTATCTAGATGGCTAAGGTCCTCTTCTTAAAAAGGAATGGGAAAACTGAAATTTCGATAATATGGAAAGGCTTTTTAACATTCATTTTTTATTTGATAACTTAAGCAGTCTTGGTATTTCCTCTATTTATGTTTATTACATTGCCAATTAATTTTTTAACACATCAGCTAGCAGGTGGAAGAAAAATCATTTTCTCACATTTTACCGGGAAAATTGCCGAAAATATACCCCCAGAATTTGCCAGAAACGTCTTACATGCTTTTTTTTTGTTCGATTAGTTGCAATAATTGGGTCGTTACACCTGTCATACTTTTTGCCCTCGCCTCAGTCGATCATGCGCAACTGATGTTGCTTTTAGCATCATGCAGTTACAACAGCCAGCCAGGCAGAAACGCTGAAGAATGCGCCATTTGCAATGTGAGTACATGGCATTTATCCGTGGAGGCTTTGGCCTCGCGTATAAAAGTAACTGAGATTCATCTATCTGAAATTCCTCACCGCTGCCTGGGACGGCAGCATGATGAGTATATTGCTTACAAAGGAAAAGTACACAGAGCGACTGTCGTTGAGGAGCGGAGAACTGGAGGTCGAATGTCATCGGAAATTCAGCATCCGCAGCCATCTTCTATAGTTGGCAAACAATTCCCATACTTCAGTGTGTTGCTTCTTCAGTATCCGCTGCACTTAACAGTGTCCTTATTGGATTATCCTGCTGGTGGCCGACGTCCACAGCTGAATATCGTCGCCTCCTACCTCACGTTCCTCACATCTCCACTCACTAGTTCTGCGTTTTTCTTACTGCATTTTCCCCTTGCTACTTTTGAGTAACACACATTCCCGAATAGTTCGATCGTTATTTCCTGTTCTATGATCATGTGACCGAAGATGCCCAAAATTTTGCACTCATTTGTCGTGTAATGCTTACATTTTCCGCTTATCTTTAGGGTAGTGCTTAAACAAGTGCGCTCAGTGTGTTTATCCCCCGATCACGAAGGATCTCGTTTCTGAAAGACACTGATTACTTCTAATTTATAATGTAATTTTATATTTCATTGCTTCGGCGCATGTGTTATGTCAGGTCAGTTTAAAGAACGTACAGCTCTTTCTCAAAAGGCACTGTTTGGAATTTCGTAACTGGAACTTCATTAATCGGGTTAAAAACCTGTGTAGTTTACATTTTTTGTAAGTTAGATTGAAATTTGTTTGTTTGTTTTTTTTTTCGATGCTGGCAAATTTTCTGGGCACATTTTGAAGCACCTTGATTTTTGAATTTGTTGCGAAAGGAATAAGTAGCAGATATGAGTGAGGAATGAAGACGGCCAAACCGTTCTCCTTACTCAAACTGCTTTGCGCTTCAACGTGTGGCAAGTAAATGTCCAGCTTCGAAACCCGAGTCTTCCTTGTGATCCTTTGTGACATAATCAATTGCACCGCATACGAGGCTTCACTAGTTTAGATCTGCCGTCATAACTCAGAAAACTGTAACATTTACAAGTTGATTTTGGATTGCTGGTCTTCTCTTGTTCAGTCAAACGAAAGCTCAGAATGTCTGGCTTCCATCTCGACTGATTCTGAATTTATAAAGCTAGTCTAGCAGTGTAATTTTAGTCGTTAAGGGTTTAATTCTGATTTCAGGTAACTTAGACCGTACTATTCAATTGTGAAACAACCTTTAATGTTTCCACTTTGTAGCTGTTTTTAACGAGCAGTTATAGTATTAGTACGAATCCAAACTGAAGCCACCAGATTAGTAATATGGAGGTTCCAAGTACAGTTTTAAATTATTCGAATCTGCCTGAATTTAGAAAATTGTTTACAAGTGCTAGATATCAAAAACTGTAACTAAGTTTTAAAAAACCGCATTTTGGGTGAGAATCCGTGAACTGAAGGAGAGGAAGACTTTTTGCCCGAAGCGGTGCGACCTCTAGTTGAATGGGATGATATGTACGACTTGCTGTTGACGACAACGCTTGTTATTTCAGAAGCCACTTCTCCTTTCGGAAGAAATAATTAAAAGAATTTCAGCTGCGTTTACGTTGAGCCCACGAATAGATTCTGGGCGGACCAAACTAACATGAATTTATGGGGAATCCAGACTCCACCCGTCCCTCAGCAATAAACGCTCATTGCTTTTCCTCCATTCGATCTTTGCGTGGATCATTTTGGTTTACTAGCCGCTACTCTTTCAACTCAGCAACCAACGAAGCTAGTAAGCCGAACCGTTTGGGGCACTTTTCCACCCCATGTGCAACTCTTACGTTTTAATACTATCATTCATGTATTCTTGAGTCTCTCCTACGAATAGTTGAAAGAACGATGTAAATTTTTTGGCAGGAAATTGATTTCGGGAGCCAGATGAGATAGGAAGCTAAAATTTAGCAGGGATGTTCTAAGTCCTTGTGTGGGCTAGAGGTTTTAAATTAACCTTCGACACGCGACTACGTAAAGTGCGCGAAAATTTCAAAGTTGAGATTGAGACATCGTTGGCAAAATGCTAACTCAAAAGCTGAGCTGACTAGAGTGCTCTAACTTTACGAAAATATTTCTTTTCCGCATATGGTTATGTAGGTTTAAAATGAAATTTGGCATTCTCTTGTATCGCGTGTTCGGATGCGTTAAGAAAAGCGATTTCGCCAATCAGCCATACTAGTGAACTGAAACTTTACTGTACGCCAGTGTGCAACCTAATATTCCAAATTCAGCTTAAAGCATGCCTAAGTGCCGCGTACGCATAAGTGAATTTTTGTTCCGGAACAATGCTGGCACCCAATTAACTTGTTAATTGGGCTGAGTGAGAAGCAGTATTTTTCTGAGGATGTTTGCTATTCAAGTACGGGCCGTCAAACGTAAAATAAGCTTCTTCCTAGGCATGTGCTTTGCGAATGGGCGCATCGAATGTACAAATTGCAACACCGCAGTTACTTACACCCCAATAGTACGAGTAATCTCTACAAGATGTAATCTTGCAAAAACGCGTGATTTCACAGACAAGTCTGGCGCGTCGCTACTTGAGTTTCTACCAATCTGCGTTCGAAGCCAGAACAAATTTCCAAGTCGGCTTCAGGTCATAATCTGATTACATCAATTTTTCATCGTATACACACCACTATTATACGTCCATTATATATGTAGAGCAAACATTATATGTCTACTGTTTATCCTGTTCATTTTGAGTGATATTTTATCAGTACTGCAAACGCACCCCAACAGTGACTTTCCGCTAGCAGTCCTCGTTTTCCTCCCTTTCCTCCCTAATTCTTCGATGCATACTAAGGTCAAATTTGCAATTTTTAGCGAAAAGTCAGTGGGCAATTTTAGACAATTGTCATCGGTTGTTGTTGCTGAACGGATGATGAATTGAACTGTTTATAATTGCTGGCTCCAGGATGAGGCGCAGATTACATTACTTTTGTTGACTGAAGCGCAGTTAATCCATCCGCAATCATTCTAATCCCTGAGATTTTCCTTCCTAAGCCAGCTTCTCCAATCGCCACCCAGCTCGACCACTTCTTATTCCTTTATACTACTTATCCTGCTTACTCTCCCTCGACATGTATCCCTCGGAACTAATCGTTGCAAATTAAAGGTCACATTTTTGGTTGGACTTTTTCAAAACAGCCACTGTCCTTTAGAAAAAGGCATCTAAATCTAGCCTAGAAATAGTGCCCTCACTAATGGCAACCATTCGCGATGGCTTCCTCATTCATAGGTTTCAAAAGATTTATTTTGAAAAAGACTCGGTTTCTAGTCATCCTAGTTGCTTTACCGTTTTTCCCGCAGCTCTCCTAAATGAACTGAAGCATGGAAGTATTTTTATGCTAAAAACTCGAAAAAACTTTGTTTTTAATTTCGAGTTTTGCGTCAAAATCTTAAGGCCTTTTTAAAACTTCCGCCTTGATGGATCTTTATTACGTAGTCTTATTATCTTTATTACTAAGCAATAAATATGGCTTCGTTCGCAATATCGAGTCTGCCTGAAAAACCAGTTGGCCGGACGACAAAGTGGAAGACACGAGGGTTCTGAAATTCGGCCGCACAACGGTTACAGCCGCGCTTTTGCTTTTTGTTTTAAATTACTTACTTGCCTCCACTCCTTATCTTGACATACCCGTTGCATGTGCACGTCATTCTCAGCGCAGATCAGCCAAACTGAGGTTTTCGGACTTGTAGGTACCATTTTATCGGTAACAGCATTTGGCATGTCTTTTTTTTTACATACAGTGTGTTTAAAATAGCAAGTTTCGCGCAAATTTTTTTTTTTTTGTAAGGCATATATTCGTTCATGTGTTTTTTCCTCAACTCCTTTAGACGACCCAACAAGACGTGGTCTGGCCAATTTCCTGTTGTCCTGACAATCGAATTTCTCGATTTTAAGCAGCGTAACTACATTATAAACGTAAACTTGGTACTCGTCTGTCGAAATGTACGCTTTTGAAAGCACGATAAAAATGCAGGTATTTTTAAATGTGCATTTGACGTGGCACGAGTTTTAAAAAATTTGCTTACAACAATAAAATTGATGAAATGGAAGAAAGGAATGTGCATTCTACATAAATTTTATATATGCTCCACTGATGCCGGGCAGCACCGGAACCTCAAAATGCGTCCATTTATGCGTATATTTAGTACCATATCTAATTCTCTCATTTTGTACACTCTTCTCGAGTTTCTTTTTTTCCAGTTATATTCACTTTTTAGATAAGATGACAAAAATTCACGAACAGCTTCTTTTTAAAGCGAAGAGTCACGAATTTTGAAAAAGTACAAGATTCCGAATAATAAGCTAACAAGCAGAGGGAGTGGAAATATGAGCGGAAAAAAAATTCATTGAAGCAACATTGATTCAACTGATAGTCGAGTTTCTTTAAAAGAAAAAAAATGCCTTAGAAGAAAACAAACCCACCAACGAAACCAGAAGACAAGGAGAAAGCTAGCCTTCTTTCTGAACCGCTTCTGATCACAGCTGTTCCTGGTTCGCACATCGATGTGCTCTGTACTGCCGCACTTCATTATTTACAAGTGTTTGTTGACAAGCAACCATTTTGAGGCGAAAAGTTGGCCATTACTCCCTCCTCTTATACCCCCATTTTCTATTTCTAATCTTTGTCTTCACCTTTTCAGCTAAATTCCTCTTCCTGCGTTCTTTGCTCCGGCTCCGCCTATGCATACCCTATTTACTGAAGCAGTTTATGGCACAAATGAACCTTATTTAATCACATAATCTTTCAGGTTAGAGGCTGGAGTGGAAATGAGCTTGGTTCCTTCTCTCTTTCCTAACCCCTTCGTTTGTGAAGGAAAATCGCACTAGAGAGAGATTCGCGGCAAGCGTATCTGCAAAGTCTTTGTGTTCCTACATTCGGTTTAGCTACAGATTAGCGTCTGACTCTTCAAAGCTTTGTTTTTTGCAAAGCAATTTACCCTTCTACGAAAGCAACCTAATTTCAGTCTTCTGCAGTCTCAACTTAATTCTTTGAGACTTCCCGTACCAGCAGCGTACTTTGGATCCTCAGCAATTTTCGAAGCCACTTTCAAGTCCAGTGCATGTTGCGAATTCAGGTTTGCAAGTATTTTTAAAGTTTACTCAATTCTTAAAATCACGCTGTGCTGCTCATGGGTGCTAAG